ACCTCTCAAGTACGAAGGCAAAAGGAGTAATGAGAGCTGCAGCAACTGCCATTCGGTAAGCGACTAAGACATGAGGGCTCATTCCCGCGTTCAAAGCTAGTTTTGCGACTATAGACATCAATGCATATAAACACTGAATGAAAACAATGGCCATGAATGGCCTTGCTTTCTCAAGCTCCATTATTTGCAGCTTCTCTGCATAAAAAAAAAAACTCTCTTTGTTACAAAAGAGCTGGTTTGGTTTGTTATAAAGAAAGTAAAAGACGTATGTACATGTATATGTATGAATTCTGTTTGAAGCCAAATAACGTTTTCATGTGTTCCAACGTTAAGAGCATTAAAAAAGAAACGTTTTGTTCAAGTGCAAGAAATTAATACATATGCCCAAAACAAGACGAAAGAAAAGTGCACTAAACTCGTGTTTTAAGAGGTAAACACTTCTTAATTTGTTTGGTGCTGATTCTCATAGACTTAATTTGTCACAACCTACTTTAATTATTTTGGCAGTTTTACAATTACTACTCACCAGCTTCAATTAATTATTTGAGCTTTTTATTTTTGTTTTACTCGTTAGTCGTTACATTATTTTATTAACCGTCCTATCACTTTATCAACTACTTGTGATGGATTTTTTTTCGATTATAATATAAAGAACAAATTGCTAGGCTAAAAAAAGTGTCTAAAACCAAATGGATTCTGAAAAAATGTGCATCCTTCCAAATTTCCCACAACATACCTATGTTGTATGGAGAACCAAACGTTAGCAACATACGACATAATTTACCAAATAAAAGTATAGTTTATATCGCAATTACATGGTTTCTTCTCATTTCCTCGAGTTCATAGATAAAAACGATAAGTGGAAACAGGGGCAGATCCAGAAGTTTTGAATATGGGGCACAATATTAAAAAAAAATATTACCAAGTTAAAAATAAGTTTTATGATTAAAAAACATGTTATATGTACAAAATTTTGTTCATGAAAAATAAATAAATCATGTTAACATATATCCGATTAAAATTATATTTCTCTTATAGTACAACCAATGAAAAAAAAACTCATAAAAATCTTAATATTATAACGATAAAATGTGTTTTAAACTAATCCTAAACCATTAATTTAACGTGATTATTTAAATTTAGTAAATTTTTTTTTTGTAATTTTGTTTTGGGAATAAGGTAGTAGAGGTGGGAAAAAATAGTTGAAAAATTCAAAATTGTAGTGACTATGTCTCTAGATCAATGATGCCGCATATCCATAATTTCAACTTCTTTTAGTAGGTCTTAGGTCTTAGAGCATCTCAATTTAACGTTCTTAAAAGGATTATAAAAAAAATTATATAAATAAAATATGGGGATAGGATTTCAAAAGAAGAGGGATGGGTTTTTATATAAAAAATTTTAGATACCATATCTCCTCTTTTAAGAACTCCTCTAATATTTAACTATTATTTTGTATATCTAAATTATTAAGAATTCTTAGTGAGAATCCCTTGTCAAAGACGGTCAAAATGGGCCAAAATCTGCGGGTCGGACCCGACCTATCCCACCATGGGGCGGGTATGAGCTCAACAATGTCAACCCAAAAAAATGCGGGTCTCATGGGTTGATCTATGACGGACAGCGGGTTTAGCGGACAAAACCCATAACGGGCTACGGGTTAACGGATAACCCTTTAAATTTTCATATGC